TCCTTGCCCCCCAAAAAGAAACTCTAGATCCTCCGCAATTCCTAATTTGTCCTTTAAAACTATAACAAGAGTCCGTCTCATCTTAATATCCCTGACCTAGTAATATCTTCCCCCAAACCATCTCAGAATAGACTGGAAAGCTATTTTCATCTGGAGAAAAGATCTTCAGGGAAGAGACTCCACCAGACAGATTGTGAAAGCTGACCACTTCCTTGAACCTTGGCCTATACTGGGTCGGCATCTGATCGGAAACAGGCTTCAGAAACATCATGCCGTATCCCCCCCCTGCAAGAGATTCTCCTGTGGTCCTGAATGACACAGCCATGTCATCAGGTTTTACCTCCAAGTTGGGGCTCCTGATAAGGGGACCAGGCGCAGGTCGAGAGACACAGTAGATGTAGATCGCAGCTGCTAAAGAAAGCACCTTTGACAAAGTGCAATATAAGATTTTGTAACTGCTGTTGGTGTACTGGTGTGTAGCCCTGTGGCAACTCAGAGTGTAGAAATAACCAAAATAAAACGTGTACTTTCGTGCTTCTTTCTGACGCACAATGGTGTATTCTGCACAATGGGAGTTGTCTCTTTAGATATATGTTGGTTCTGAAAAGAACCTTGGAAAAAAAAAGGAAGTAAAAAGAAAACATTGAAAAGCGTTACCTTGTCTGTGCATTTTGTTCTTTGATAGCCAAAGGCTAAGTTCATTGAGTGTTCTGGGCACATAAAATTTGATCAGCACAAAAAAAAGTTTGGCTGAAAAGCTCCCCGGCTTCAAAGTCAAGCAATTCATGTATTGTTGCCTGCAACTCACGTTTAGCTGATTCTTTTTATCTAGAACACAAATTCACCCCAAAATGGTCCAATTCATCCACAGCACCATGCCTAAGTGATCACATGCCAACAGAGTCCTTTCTTACTGCCTTACTACAGTATCTGTCTAGTTAGAATGTTTTCCACATTTCCGATCACAGTGTGGAGCATCAAATGCATGATCTGAATAACCATGTAAACTTGGCAGTCCAAGAACTGAAACTTGTCTTTAGTACAATATTTGTTTCCCATGTTCTGGTTTACAATAATGAAACAATCTTTCTTATCCTTTTTTTAAATTTGAGCCTTCTGAAAGAGCATTATCTCATTCCAACTAAATTGAAAATGACAACCGATTTTGAAAATGGTTTGGAAATATTCTCCTGCTTTTGAACAACTGTATGTACATAAATGTAGCTTTGATGTCAAGTATAATTTAAACCTTGACCAGCAAAGAAACAAGTCTCTCTGAGGGGGAATGTGCATTAATGAACCATGTCAATTTCGCCAACAAGGAAACTATTGGCTCAAGCCGGACTGGGCAAGATCTAAGATGATGGTTTGAAGATGCTCTTTAGCTGCGTGCTGACTGATGAGGCTTTCTCCTAGGCTACGTATGCTAAGCCTGGCTACGTGTGTACATCAGAGAGGACGTCATGCGGCGATAAAAAGATTAGCACAGTGGGTGGTGGTGAATCCGCACGACGATCGACTGGCTCAATGAAGACAACAAAACAGGCTGGGAGGCTGGGGATGGATTTGACAGATCTTGAGCTGCGCGCGATCAATCCACAGATACAGGACTCTGTGGGGTTTAAATTCTTGGCCGGATATCTGAAACATATTACCGTGGATGAAGAAAGTAATGTGCTAACAAGGACACGATGTGCGTTGAGTAATAGTGTTTATCAATAACAAGTTGATACTTCATATTGGTACAATCTCTACAGGTTTCTTCAGGCTTGTGCGCTGCAGTGCCTCAGGCACTTTTGAGGAATGGTGTCATTACTAGAAATAACTAATAGTAATAGTACGTTAAGTCTCTGTGATGCAGTCTTAACTGAGTTGAGTGTGAAGTTCTGGGCCTTGTTTGCAATAACAGAACGACAGCAGGCTTACCCGGAGTGCATCATGACGCTTGCAGGAATCAATGTAAACCCTTGGGGGGGAGGGAGGGAAGTTGTCCCCTGTGAGATGTTTCAGGACGTGGCTTGAAACTCCTCATGTGGGATTTGAAATAACATCCCTACCGAGGTCTTAGGAATTTGTTTTCACAGGCTAGACGACATCTAATTTGATTTGGACGGAGACGGTGGATGTCATTGCGGCTGCAAGCTGAACCGTGACGTTTTTAAGACTCGCCGCTCTTGTATCGTGCCCAATACAAAAAACACCCGACTACACTTTTTCCAGTTTCCCTTGTGAACTTTTTTCTCCCTTGCTGGGGACCATCCTGAAGTTTTCCCAAATCGTTCAGTGTGCAGGCAACCTATAAACAATTCTGTGCACTTATATTTCAATTCCCTAGCAGCGTAAAGCTTCATGTAAAGAGGTGGTTATTACTGAGCTGTGCATTCCTCAGTACAAGTACCCCCCCCCTACATTGTCCCAATCTCCTGGGTGGAATTTCATCCAAAAATTTCTCACTCGAAATTCCCCCCCCCCAAGAAAACTTCTGTTGCAAATTGCATTATAGACTGAAAAAAAAGCAGAGGAAAAGCTAGTACATGTATGTGCCACGCAGGATCACAGCATGCGATTTAAATATCCGCGCTGGATGAGTCAAAATGTAATTGAAAAAAGAAAAATTCCATCGAATCAAACTTGATTTTGTTAGCTTAGACAAGATCTGTTAAAAATTTTAACACATTTACTATTTTACCAGGCAAAAATTCCTACCAGGATCACGTGTATATCCTCACAGAGCAGCTTTGGAAAAAAAAATGTGTGAGGCTAAAGGTGGGACATCTCTGTGAATCATCTTCGCTCTCTGCTCTGGCGTAAACAACCGGCTTTAAGGTTAGAAGTTATTGCCCTGGAGTACCGAATCCAAGTCCGACCTGGACAAAGGATTACGAGACAGCTTGACGAAGCAGCCCTCGGAATTAAGACGGAATGCGTCCCCAGATGCCTCAGATGTTGGGACGTTCTGTCCTGAAAATGTCGTCAACAGCCTCACAGATCAGAGGGTGTTTTCCAATCGGAGGAATGCTATTTTGTCATGGGATGATACATGTGTTTTGGAAGATGACATCTGCTCCCGTCATTTTCTGGTCTGTCAAAAACATCCAGAATCTCACAAATCAAATTAAGTCATCGGTCGAGCAGAACCTCAAATGGGTTAAACTGCATGGCGCTGTAAACAACCGCTCCTGCACACTGTGCGCTGACGACCTAAACTAAAAATGAGGGTGACCAAAATTCAATGCACTGATCACTAAAATCACTTACCAGTGATGTCAACCCATAAAAATTCATGGTACTACTTGCAAGTATAAAGAAGGACGTAATTTCTAATCCATAACTGCCTTAATCTTAAACTAGCTAAATGAATTTGTATCATATCGAGACAATTTGATGTAACTTATATTTTGTCCAAAACGCGTAGAAACGGAATGTTCACTGCAAGACGGGGGGTGCCGGGTCTCGTGTAAGCCTCGGCTTTTTTTCCCAGCATCCTACATCTTTGTTTATTGTGTATGAATTAATATCATAACATTGTGAATCTTGTATCTGAATTTATTTTCATTGTTCATCTACCTGCAATGTTAATGAAGATGTGAAATAAACCAAACTACGCCAAACCCAAAACAATATTCAGGACCTGGAAAACCTTGAGACTAACTTGAAGACGAGTTGAAGGCAGAACCAAATAAATAGCAGGATGTCTTTTGGGAGAACACATTTCAAAGTTTAGCAATTACATGAACAATTTTACACTGGAAATGGCTAATCACACACTACCATCTGAGATGTCCTCGAATAAACAGATGAACAGCAAAACACAAACAAACAAACCCACGCACAACCCCAGATACCTGTTTCACATACAAAGTGTGGACTTTCCTTTGTTCTCCTGTGGTTAAGGAAACTTGAGGAAAATGTTCCTTTTTCTCTAACTAGGATAACTCCTTCGAGCTGGACTTTTGATGGTGATTCCCTGGACTGTTCCTCTTCATTTTGCCACGGATAACCTTGACCCCAAATTGCCTCTGAAACTGTTTTTCAGAGAGGTGGGAACATTGTGTGGACGTGTGTGAGTCCACACTACGCCATCGCACCCTGCATTATGTGGACTGCTTTTGTGCAGAGGTCCACACTATGTATGGCACGCCTGCACAGATCTGTCTGAAGTGGACACACAAAGAACAAGTACGTCCATGCCCTGGCAGCTCATACGTGTAGTTCTACTGCAACTTTCTACATCTGCACGTCTTTTGATCGTTGCAAAATTTCAAACAAAGAGAAGCTGATAAACCAAGGACCAACTATAAACCTTATTCTATTCTGCAGGTCTGCGTCTTTGATGTACACCTTCAACTCTCAGGTAGCAACAAACAAAGAAAACAAACAAACAAACAAACAATAAACAACAACAAAATCCAGACATAAAGAACAAGTCTTCCTGATGCATCAACACGGGAGAGCAGTGGGATTCGAACCTCCCCCCATCCTGAATACATGTAATATCTCTCTTAAGATTCTCGCCAAACTTTGCACACTTGATCTCTCCAGTAACACTATTTCACTATTGTACAATGCCTTCATCACCTGTAGAGGATGTGAACCTTTCTAGTGGCCCCAAATCCCTCCCCCCAAAGTCTCATGTGCCAACCTCTCACACAATTATGGACTTTATAGAAGCTACGAGAGTTGAACCCAAAACACTGTATTCTAAGTTTGGATATCCATGTAGTTATGGAGGGTGGTAAAATAAATTCTTATTCGAATGCTTTCTGCAATGATTTTGTGCTTCGGGTGGCCATTAACAGGCATGCAACTTGGACTTTGACAAAAATGAGGAAATTCCAATCTTTTACAAGACTTTGTACGGTGGTTTTTCAATTTTCACTAGCATGAGCGTGAAGTGAATAGTGAGGAAATAAGCCGATCCAAGGAAAAGTTGCATGCCTGCATTTTCAACTGGTAAGTGTTGCATCCTACCCAGGACAGAGGCCGGAATGTGATCCCTACCTTGTTTCATGAGCCAGCCCTCCCGGTCGGGGTTAAAGAAGGTGTGCGTTAAGTCGTTGCCGTCATCCTCCGGTATCTTGAAAGGTTCCTTCTTGATGCTCTCGTACAGGCTCTACGATTACAGAATTCATAAAACAACCAAAGTATCATTCAGTATATTCGACATAAAAAAATGAAAGGCTTTATTCACATGTCGGCCATATTAAATTAAAGCGAGGAAGTAGAAAAGACATCAATGAAATAAAAGTTCCTTACAATCCAATGCCCGTTTACTCTGATGGATAATTTATCATTTGTGATTAATTACAATGTATCTAAAAGTTTTACGCCAAAACTAGAAAGAAATGAATATCAGACTAGGAGCCCCAAATAGTCTGGCACCACCCCACTTAACAGATTCCACTGAATAAGAAAGATTCCGGGAACACAATCCAAAATGGCTTCCGCATGACTAAGGCCTCATACAGAAAGAGGCCTCACATTTATCTGTCATTTTAAAATGACATGGAAAGAGATTGTGATCTTTTTTTCTTTTTTTTATTTTTTAAATTTAAATATTTGGGGGGCTTGAAGGTTTTTAAGTTTGATCAATAGGTGGGTAGCATCGGGGTCGTTTCCACAAAGCTCAAAGTGATTTCTGTTGTGGCTTGAGGCCATTGATACCTTGATTTGTGAAAAAAAAAGGACGAGAGCCTCATTGCATGGTACAGAGAAAGCTCACAAAAATGAATTTTCCATGTCAAGAGGCAAGTCAGTGAGAAGTCAAGTTTTGAGAAATGGCCCAAGCCAGTGTACAAGTACAGTACACCAATGTGCCAATGTAGGCATGACAGCAGTGACTCTTTTCATGAGATCTAAAATCTGAAAGCAGCCTTCCTTTTGAAGGAAATATGTAAAAATATCTTTTACAAGATAAGGGAGGAATGAAACAAGAGTTTTGAAGTTTGCTTCTTTTATACCAGATTTGCACTGGCACAAAGGTATAAATTCACGCTGTATTCTGAGTGGTCCAGCTTAACCAAATCCACAACTTCCTGCTTGCGAGTGCAAAGCCAATTAATGCCATCCACTTGAATAAATTGAGGAGAAATTTGGGAAATGTGTACAACACATT